ATGCCTTTGGGACAGCCCCGCGGGCCACTGGGGCGCGAGGGCAGGCCGTCGGGACAACCCCGCGGGCCACGCCGTTGGGACAGCCCCGCGGGCCTCAAGCTGCGGAGTGCCAACATGATGTGCGGGCCCCATAGGGAGGGGGCCCCCGCCTGAGACTTCCTCGCAATGCGCTCACAGGCGAGGCTCCCGCCTGAGACTTCCTCCATGCATGCTCAATCTTGGGGAGCCCCAAAGTGACAACAGTTACAGGTTGCAGATGATCCGCTCGGATTGTCAACGTGAAGTCCGGGCTCCGTAGGGAGGGGATTCCCGCCTGCGACTCCCTCGAAATTACCTCACAGACGAGGATCCCGACTGAGACTTCCTCAATACTCAAGCCTGAGCAGCCCAAAAATGACGAGAGTTACAGGTTGCCGATGACCCGCCTGGGATTCGAACATTAAATGCAAGCCCCATAGGGAGGGGCTTCCCGCCTGAGACTTCCTCGCGATTCACTCACAGACGAGGCTGCCGACTGAGACTTCCCCAATATTCAAGCCTGAGGAGCCCAAAAATGAGGACAGTTACAGGTTGCCGATGACCCGCCTCGGATTCGAACATAAAATGCGAGCCCCATAGGGAGGGACTTCCCGCCTGAGACTTCCTCGCAATCCACTCACGGACGAGGCCCCCGCCTGATACTTCCTCCATATTCAAGTCCCAACACCCCAAAAGTGACGACAATTTCAAAGTTCCGATGACCCGCTCGGATGAAAAAGATGAAGTGCGGGCCCCATAAGGAAAGGGTTCCCGCCTGAGACACTCAGGCCTCAGCACCCCAACAGTGACGACAATTGCAAGGTTCCGATGACGCGCTCGGATTTTATTTGTATATATATATATATATATATATATATATATATATATTTATTTATTCCACTCCTAGCCCCGTTAACTGAACAGAAGGAGGGAGAGCCATATTTTGGCGACGACCGCGAGCACAGCCGCAGGCTCTCCGCCCCGTCCAAGAGACGGGGGAACAGAGTTGTGGGGTGGGAGGTGGAAAAAGCGCTGCTCAACCTAAACAGCTGCGGGAGCAGGGAGGAGGAGGGGCGACAGAGCACTACGGCCAGGGGGGAATAAAACCGTTTAGGCGTATGCCAAACGAAACCATATTCCCCTCCTAGCCCCGTTAACTGAACAGGAGGAGGGAGAGCCATATTTTGGCGACGACCGCGAGCACAGCCGCAGGCTCTCCGCCCACGCCCGTCCCGGGCCGCTCCCCAGGGGGATCGCCCTAACGGCGCCCACCCTCCCTCCAAACAAAGATGGCCCTAGGGGTCCGCCAGTGAGACAGAGAAGGGGCGAGGGGCAGGGAGCCAGAGAGGAGGAAGAAAGGCGGGCCCGCCATCACCCCGTGCAAAACCCTGGGTGCCAAGCGCACTAATCACAGTAGCGCGGCGCCGCAACTAGCTGCAGCTGCAGAGGGGTAACGCGAATACTGGAAACAGTATTGCAAAAACAGAATCCGCCCCTCCGGGGGGCGCTGCGGGGCGGGGCTGCGGAAGGCCAACTCCCCGGGCGCACAGGGTCACCACTGCGGCGCGCCGGATCCAGCACCGTACCAACCGTTCCCTCCGCAGCTCTTCCGCTCCCCGGAGGGGGGCCTTCCACGGGTGACATTCACTGGGCGCCGTCAAACACGGCGGGTTCCCCCAGATTGGAGCCCGAGGGGTTCGCAAGGCCGCAAGCTTGGTGCCAGCTGCTTGCGGGAAAAACAGGCATACGGTGAGGGGGCGGCTCCCCTCCACTTACTCATGCTACGGCCAGCCAGCCATGGCTTCCACGGGCATCCCCCCTCCCCAGCTTACCGTCCCGCCAACCGGGTGGGGCTGGGAGGGGGCCCGCGCGGCAGGGGGGCAACGCTGCTCCCGCCGGGGCGCCTCCGGGTCAGCTGCGCGCGCGGCATTCTTCCGGGGGCTCCTCCCGGCCCTCCCGCACGCCTTGACTAGAGTAAAAGTTTGGCGGGCCCTAGTGGCCAGCCCGGCAAAGGTCGGAGCGGACAAGATCGGAGCGGAAACCAAAAACTCCGGGAAGGTGGAGCCCCTCGGCCCCCTTCCCTCCAAACGCGGGCGGTCTCAACGGCCCGCCGCTCCTTCCCCCCTCCGCCGCCCGGCCGCTCGGCCGCCTGGGAGGGGGTGCCCGCCTGGCCAGCGTCGGCGCCGGCGCCGATGCCGTAGGCGGGGCTGCAGTGGGCGCCTCCTTCAGCACCGCTGGGCGTCTCCGCCCGGCCGCGGGCGCGGTGGCGCCCGCATGGCGCCCCAGCACTCGACCGCATGGCCGATCGGCCGCGGCGGGGAAGGGGCACCCCGCCAGTCGGCGTCGGCGCCACCGTTGGTGCCGCGGGCGAGGCGGCAGTGGGCGCCTCCACGGCGCTGCTGTCGGCGCAGTCGTCGGTGATGCAGTAGGTGATTCCGCCAATTCAGAGGTTGGCACCGTCATCGGCGCTGCAGGGGACGCCGTCGCCGGCGCCTTAGGCAGGATGGCGTCCGGGCAGCGATCGAACTCGACCTTCAACGCGCTGGTGGCGCCCTCGGCGCTGAGGGCACCCCGTCCCCTGCCATGAGGCCCCTGCAAGAAGGAGAGCGGCTCGGGCCCGCCGCTAGTGTGGGGGAGCTGCCCCAACACGCGTCCTCCCTGGGGCACCTCTCCCCCAGGGTATCCCTCCACTGGGGAGGCTTCCCAGCTCGCAGTCCCCCCCCTGCCGTCGGCGAAGCTGAGCTCGTGGTCGATGCCCACGCGCGCGACCTCTCGCGCTTCAACTCGTGGGGGGCGTCCTGGCAGGTACGCAGGCGCTTGGCCTCGTGCTCCTGCTCGTGGGGGTCGTCCTGGCAGCTGCGGAGGCGATCCGTCTTGCGGCTCATGCCCTCCAGCTCGTGCCCGTCAATGCGCAGGCGCTCGCCCTCGCACTCCAGGTACATGTGCGCGACGCCGCCGAACATGGAGAGGGCGGGCTCTCCGTTCCTCCCCTTCCACCTGCGGTAGGTAGCGTCCACCTCGGTCAGCTTCCCCGCGGTAACGACCCTGCAGGAGGGAGCTGGGCCCCCGGGGGGAGTTCTCCGCCCGGCCCCCCCAGAGCCTCCTGGAGCGGCGCCGACGCCAGCGCCGAAGAGAGGTGCGGAGGACCCAGGAGGGAGGGGATCAGAAGGGTTGGAGGCCGCGCCTCGGAGTTCACCCACCCGGAGGGTGCCCCTGGCGCGGGTGCAGGAGACCGGCGGGGCCCTGGTGCCGATTGCAGCGCCCCCTGCAGCACCGACCACGGAGGGGTAGGGCCTGCCCCCTGCTAGGATGCCATCCACGGGCGCCTGCAGGTCCCGGGTATCCTCCAAAGGCCTCACCCCGGCAGGGACGCCCTCCAAGTGCTTCTCCTGGGCCTGGAGGTCCATCGGCGGCGGCCTTCCGGCCGCAATAACTGGGGCTCGGGCGTCCTTCCGGGGCCCCTCCACGACCAGGTCGTCCTCGATGCGGCCCCGCGTCGGCGCGTCGGGGTCGGCGTCGGGGTCGCCAGCGTCGGTATCGGCGTCGGGATCGACAGCGTCGGCGTTAGGGTCGTCCGCCCCAATGTCGGTGCCTGCGCCGGGGGCGTCGGCGTCGGCGTCAGCGTCGGGGCAGCCTCCATCACGGGTAGCCTCCACCGCAGGTAGCCCGCCGCGAGCGCTGGCACGACCAGCTGCGGCTCCCGCGCCTGCATCGTAGGTGTCCGCGTCGATGTTCTGGCCGTCGGTGCCGGCGTCGGTGCCTTTGGCGATGGCGTCAGCGGGCGGGCTTCCGCGTCGGCGCCCGCTCCCCCAGGGGCTCCCCCACGGCCAGGACGACCTCCAAGGGCCCTTCCACGACCGGGATGTCCTCCGCGGGTCCCTCCCCAGCCAGGGAGTCCCCCCCAGGCCCCTCCGTCGGCCTCGGCGCGGCGTAGGGGACCTCCTCCCGACTCCTTCCTTCCGTGAGGCCTGCGACGATGCCAGCGTTGGGGTCGTCGGCGGACATGGCGTCGGCGCCGGCGTCAGCGTCGGCGTCCCCGTCGGCGTCAGAGTCGGCGTCGGAGCCGCCAGCCTCAGCGCTGGCGTCGGGGTCGACGGCGTTGACGTTGGGGTCGTCCTCCCCGGCTTCGGCGCCGGCGTCGGGGGCGTAGGCGTCCGCGTCAGGGTCGGGGTCGCCTCCACCGCAGGTGGCTTCCACCGAAGAGGATCCCCCGCGGATGCGGGCCCGACCAGTGTCGGGGTCGCCGCCGGCGTCAGCGGCGGCGTCGGCGTCCGCGCTGGCGCCGGGGTCGACCACGCCCACGTCAGGTCTGACACCGGAGGTGGCGACTGCGGCCAGCTCGCCGGGGCCAGCGGGGCAGCCCGTGCCGGCGCCGTCATAACGAGCGTCGGCGTGGTTGGCGTCAGCGTCGGCATCGGCGCTGGCGTCGGTGGCGGCGTCTGCGTCGGTGTCGTCGTCGGTATCGGCGTCGGCGTCGGCGTCGGCACCAGCGTGTACGTCGGCGTCGTCGGCTTCGGCGTCGGCGACGGCGTCGGCATCGGCGCCAGGCGCGGCCGGTCCATTCCCGGCGCCGCGACCGCCGCCTTCCTCACCCAAGGGTGCCTCCAGCTCCATGTCCAATGCATCCACCGAGGGTCCCTCCCTGATCACGGTATCCTCCGCCAGCGCCACCTTCAAGACCGGGCCGTCCCCCAAGGGTTCTTTAACCGCCCGCGGCGGCCCGGGGGGGCCTCTCCCTCCCCGGAGGGGCGTCTCCCCCCCCCCGAAGGGTCATTCCCCTCCCCGAGGGGGCACCCCCCTCCCCGAGAGGTCGCCTTCCTCCCCGGAGGGGCGTCTCCCTCCCCGAGGGGGGCGTCGCCGGCGGCGCCGTCGGGGAGGCAGCCGGGGCCGCAGTCGCGGCCGCCTCGGGGAAGGCTGCCGGCGCCTCCGTCGGGCTTGCCCTGGGCACCGCCGCCGGCGCTCCTGTCGGGGCCCGTGTGGACGAGGCCGCCGGCGGGGCCGTCGGCGCCGCCGGTGAGGCGGTAGGTGCCGCCGTCGTAGCTGCCGCGGATGTGGCCGGCGGCGCTGCCACCAGGCCCGTCCAGCGTCGCCATCTCTGGGGGAAGCTCCGCCCCCCCGAGCTCGGCGTCGTCGGGGCTGTCCTCCGCCGTGACCCCCTCCTTGGTGTCGTCGTCGCTGGGGTCGCCCCAGCCAAGATCTCCACCAGCATGGTCCAGGCAATGGCACTCCAGCTCCTCCACGCGGTCCTCCCCCGCCCTCAGCGTCGGGGTGGGTAACACGCGCGCCTGGCGAGTCGCTCCCCCGTGGTCGTCGGCGTCGGCAGGGGTGCCCTCCGCTCCGGGGGGGTCATTGGGGGCCTTGGCCTGGGGCCCGGGCCGCCCTTCCAGGGCCTCGAAGCGAGGGCGGAGGAGCCCTTCCAGCTCGGGCCTTGCCCCCTCCCAGGGTGACGCCCCACCTGCCGGCTTCGCCCCCGTCCGCAGCGGCGACGCCGACGCCGGCCTCAGGGCGGGCCATGCCGCTGTCTCCTGCGCTCGCTCGGCTCCCGAGTCGGCGCCGGCGGCGGGGATCTCGCGGGGCTCGGCCGGGCACCCGCGGGTGCGGACTCCGAGGCTGGCCATTTTCTCGTCGTCGCTGTGCTCCATGGGGTCGTTGCTGTCCTCCCTGCTGGCGTCGGTGCTTGCCGCGTCTTGCGCCGCCTCGTCGTCGTCGCCGTGCTCGGGGGGGTCGGTGCCGAAGTCAGTGCTGGCGTCGGACGTGTCATCTCCCTCGTCCTCCGCTCGGCGTTCGGCATGCGCCTGGCGCCCAGCCTGCCGGGGCCCTCCCCTGGCAGAGGCGTCCCCCGTCCAATTGGGGTCTCCCCTCCACGGCCGGGTTCCTCCGCGTAGGCGTCTGCGTCCGCGTCAACGTCGGCGTCAGCGTCAGCGTCCCCGCCCATGGCGCCTGCGGGGGCGGTGCGGCCGCGTCGGCAGGCGCTCCGGCGGGGTCCAGCGGCGCTGGCGCCATCCCGCCTGGCACCGCTCGCTGGCTCTGCGACGCCTGCGCGGAGCGCTCGAGCGGCACGCCCACCTCTGGCGGGCCTGCGGCGGCAGCGGCCAGCAGCGGCGGCAGCGGCTCCACGTCGGGGAGCTCGGCGTCGGCGCGCGGCGACGGCCCCCCGCCCAAGGGCACTGCGCCAGGGCCATCCCCGACCAGGTCTGGGCTGGTTGCCGCTGGCCGCTCGCCGCCCAGAGGCGTGCCGGGGTCGCGCCAGCGCGGAGGGGCTGCTGGGCCCCGATCTGGGGTCCGCGCCTCGCCCTCGCGATCCTCCGCCGCCGCGCCGCCCTCCTCGGCGGTCGCGCCGCCCGCGCCAGCGGGCGCCCGGGCCGCGCCGGGAGCCGCCAGGGACGAATTCTGAGCGCTCATGCATGCGCGCTCAGAATTCCCTGGGCCCCCCCCGGGGCCGTCGGGGACCCCGCCGGAGCCGTCAGCCGGGCCGCTGGCGCCCGCGCCGCCGAGGCCAGCGTCGGCGCCGCCGGCCAGCGAGAGCGTCGCCGAGGTCAGCGTGGGCGCGAACAGCTCGCCACCAGGGCCGCCGGCAGCCAAGCCCCCTTGGGCAACGCCCACGGCGGCTCCCAGGAGCGGGACTCCAAGGCCGAGGGCAGGGCCTTCCCCGTCCATCTGCGCTCCAGCCTCCTCCAGTCTTCCTCCCCTCGATTCCGCGAGCGGGACCGCGGTGGCAGCCACGGCCTCCATCCCACTCTCCGGATCGCCGACGTCCTCCACCTCGATGCCCTCGCCCCCGTCGTCGTCGGGGTCAAGCTTGCCGTCGGCGTCGGGGTCCTCCCTCGCCAGGGCCTTCTGCTCGGCCTCTGAGTCGGCGCCAGCGGCGGGAGTCTCCCCGCCCGGGTGAGGGCGTTCAGATGGGTTTAGCCGCAGGCTTCGCTCGCCCCGCGGGTGGGTGGGTGGGTTTTTCGCCAGGGCCTCCTGGGCGCTGGCCGTGTCGCGCGCCCGGGGGCCCCCCTCCGTCTCCGCGTTGGCTGCTCCGCAGTCCTTAATAATACGGCCGCCCGCCGTGGTCGAGGTCGTCGTCCCTCCAGGGGCCTCTGGGGGCTGCGGGTAGCTCCGCGCCGCGGGCGGCACAGGCCGGTCCAGGGCGAGGTCTCCAGAAGCCTCCGGGGGCTGAGAGGAGCCCCGCGCCTCCGGCGGCCCAGGCCGATCCAGGCCAAAATCTCCAGAGGCCTCCGGGGGCTGCGGGGAGCTCCGCGCATCCGGCGGCACCGGCCAATCCAGGCCCGAACCTCCAGAGGCCTCCGGGTGCTGCGGGTCGTCCCACGCCTCCGGCGGCCCAGGCCGATCCAAGCTAGAATCTCCACAGGTCTTTGGGGGCTGCGGGTAATAGCTCCGCGCCCCTGGCGGCACAGGCCGATCCAGGCCGAAATCTCCAGAGGCTCCCGGGGGCTGCGGGTAGCTCCGCGCCTTCGGCGGCACAGGCCAGTCTCCTCCCTCCCCAGGGCGTCGCGGCAGCCGCGTCAGGGTCGGGACGGCCGCCACCCTCTGGGCTGCCGCCTGGGTCACCAGGCCGAACACGTCGAGGTCCTCTCCGGGGCGTCGCGCCGGCCACTCCCGGGCCAGGACCGCCGCCATCTTCTGGGCCGCCGCCTGGGTCCCCAGGCCGAACACGTCGAGGTCCCCTCTGGGTTGTCGCGCCGGCCACTCCAGGGCCGGGACCGCCGCCACCCTCTGGGCTGCCGCCTGGGTCACCCGGCCGAACACGTCGCGGTCCCCTCCGGGGCGTCGCGCCGGCCACTCCAGAGCCGGGACTGCCGCCACCCTCTGGGCCGCCGCCTGAGTCACCAGGCCGAACACGTCGAAGTCCCCTCCGGGGAGCTGCGCCGGCCACTCCTGGGCCGGGGCCGTCGCCACCCTCTGGGCTGCCGCCTGGGTCACCAGGCCGGACACCGATGGAGACCCCGCGGCGGCAGGCGTGGCCAAGAAGGCCCCCACACCTTGCGTGGTCGAGGTGGCTCCCACAGCTTGTGTGGCCGTGTCCCCAAGGCTGCAGCCGTCCCGGCGATCGCCAGCACCCCGAGGGTCCCCCGCGTCCCGAAGACCGCCCGCGTCCCGAAGATCGCCAGTGTCCAGGAGGTAACCGTCGTCCCGAAGCGCGCCCTGGAGATCGCCAGCGCCCCGAAGATCGCCTCCAGCGCTCCGAAGGGCGTCCCGTTGAGCGCCTCCCGCGCCCCGAAGAACACCTCCATCGCCCCGAAGCTCGCCTCCGTCGTCCCGAGGATCGCCTCCTCCAGCATCCCGTAGGTCGCCTCCAGCGTCCCGACGCTCGCCTCCAGCGTCTCGAAGGTCGCCAGAGGCGTCCCGAGGAGGGTCCGGCGGGGCCTGGCTTTCCTGGTTGCTCCCAGTACCCCGAAGATCGCCTCCAGCGTCCCGTAGTACATTTCCCGCCAAGGGGGCGCCCGCCGCCTGCAGGGCCGAGGAGGGTCCCTCCGATTGGGTGGCCGGCGGAGCTCTCGCTGCCTGCCAGCGTTCGGCCAGCAGGCACTGCCCATCCACCCCTGCGCTGCCTCCCGAAACGGCGCCGGCGCCGCGCCCACCAGAGTCGGTGACGGCGTCGCCGGTGGGACGGCACCCTGCTCGAGGGGTCCAAGCGAAGGCGCCGGCGGGACACCCCCGGGACCCTTCGCGGAGGCTCAGCAGGAGGCGGGAGGCGGTCTGGAAGTCGGCCTCGATGGGGAACGTCCCCGAAAGCTCGTCCTGAGGGATGTGCTCCTGGATCCACTGGAGGATTGCTAGGTACCTGGCGTAGGGTACCCGCTCCTCCCAAGGGCCGAGGTCCTCCTCCATCCAGCCGCGGAGAGGGCGGGGTGAAGCGGCCTCGCTCCAGGTCCTCCAGGCGCGGTCCATCTTCTTCAGCCTCTCGCGGGCCCGGCTGAGCCCCGGGTGAGGGAGGTAGTCTAAGCCCGCTTGTTCCAGGTCAGCCTGGAGCGCCCGCTCCTCCCTCCGGAGTACGCCTAGGGTCAAGTGGAGTTCTTCAAGGATCGGCGCGGCTTTCGCGAGGGGCACCTCCCCTGCAAGCGGGCTGCGCCTCAGGGCGCGGTTCCAGGCCTCCTGGGCGAGGAGGTTGAAATCGCCCCGCGCCTGGAGGAGCGCGGCCAAGGAGTCGACGGGGGCGGAGCCCGTGGGGTCCCGCGCTCGGGGCCACTCATGACTGCTCCCAGCATCCCGCGGATCGCCTCCAGCGCCCCGCGTTCTTCCCTCGTCCCCGGGAGGACGTATCCCTCCCCGAGGGGGCGTCCCCCTCCCCGAGGGGGTGTCTCCCTCCCCTGGAGGGCGTACCCCCTCCCACGGGGAGGCGCCATCATCCAGGTCAGAATATCCCGGATGCCCGGGGGGCGCGCTCCCCGCCCGAGGAGTGCGCTTCCCGCCCGAGGGGGGCGGGGCCGCCGGGCAAGCGGCGAGGGCGGCGTGGCCTGTCGGCGTCGAAGCGTCGGCGCCGGCGTCGGCGTCCGCGTCGGCGTCGTCGGCATCGGCGTTGGCGTCGGTGTCGGCGTCGGGGCCTCCGTCAGCGTCCACGTCCGCGTCGGCGTCAGCGTCGGCTTCAGCGTAAGCGTCAGCGTCAGCGTTAGCGTCGGCGTCGGCGTTAGCGTCAGCGTCGGCGTCGTCGGGGGTCGCGTGGCTGGAGAGCTGCTCTCCCAAAGGATGGGGCGCCCCCTCCCTCAAGGGGGATGCCGGCGCACGCGTCGCCCCCGGACTAGGCGTAGGCGCCGGGGCTGCCGGGGTCGGCATCAGCAGGGCAAGCGAAGGTGCCGGCGTCGTGGGCACTCCCGTGTCCCGGTGGTCGCCTCCAGCGTTCCGAAGGCCGCCTCCAGCGTGCGTTAGATCACCTCCCGCAAATACGATACTCCCCTCACCTCCAGCCCGAAGGGTGTGTTGAGGGTCGCCAGCGTCCCGGAGATCACATCCAGCGTCCTGTCGAGCGCCCCCATGACGTTGACAGTCGGTATTGGGACCCTCTCCGTAATGGTCCCCTCCCCTTCGGTGGTGGCCCGCGGTCGATCGGTCGACTCCATCCCGGTGGCGGGGCGTCTTCGCCTCGGTGGTGGTCAGCTCGGGTTCATCGCCTCCGCCGTGGTGGTTGCCGCTCCCGTCCCGAAGGGGGTCGGTCCCAGGCCGGTCGTCTCCGCCTCGGCAGGGGTCGCTTCCACCGCGACGGCGGCCAGTTCCCGGCCGGTCGAATCCGCCTCGGGAGTGGCCGGTTCCCCCAAGCCCCCGAGCGGGTCCGCACGCGCTATCCCCACCTAGGAGGTGGCCCCCTCCTGGTAGGTCGGCCCAGTGGTCGCCCGCGTAACGAGGATCGCCGGCAGCCGCGGGATCGCCAGCTCCCCGGATAGCGCCACCGTCATGAAGGTCGTCGGCGCTACAAGGCGCGTCTCGAGGTCCACCAGCGCCTGGAGGAGCGCCAGCCTCCCGCCGATCTCCATCGGTCCGGGGAGCGCCCGGGGGGTCGCCCACGCCCCAATGATCGTCTCCAGCGTGCCGGGGAGCGTCAGGCCGATCACCCGCGCATGGCGGAGCCTCCCGAGGGGGCCCCGTCACCCGAGGATCACCTCCGTGGTTGGGAGGGGAGTCCCGCTGCGCGCCCCCAGGGTCCGGAGGCCCGTCTCCAGCATCCCGACAGTCGCCTCTGGCATTCCGAAGCTCGTCTCCCGCCTCTCGAGGACCATCCCGACCCGCGCCCCGGGGGTCGCCAGCGCCGCGAAGATCACCCCGGAGCTCGCAGGGGGCCTGCTGAACGTCGTACCTCCCGCGAGCGTCCTGGGGGCCGTCTCCATCCCGACGATCGTCCCGACGAGCCCTGAGGAGCGGGGCCGGCGGGGCCGTCGTCGGCGTCAGTGTCCGTGCCCTCGCCGGCGTCAGCGTCAGCGTCGGAGTCGTCGGTGTCGGCGTCGGCGTCGGCGTTGGCATCGGCGTTGACCCCCCGGTTGAGGACATTCCCACCCAGGAGGGGGCCCCCTCCCGGTAGGTCGTCGCCGTCGTGGTTGGGGTCGTTTCCACCGCGGTGGTGATCAGCTCCGGATAGGTTGCCTCCACTCCCGTACCGGTCCCCCCCGCGTCGGCGGTGGTCAGCATCTGCTCGAGCGTCTCCGTCTCGGTAGCGTAGGTGTCCTCTGCCGCAGGTGGCCCCTGTCCCTCGCCGAAGCAAGGCGCCGCCCCTCGCCGAAGCAAGGCCCCGCCCCTCGCCGAAGCAAGGCCCCGCCCCTCGCCGAAGCAAGGCCCCGCCCCTCGCCGAAGCAAGGCCCCGCCCCTCGCCGAAGCAAGGCCCCGCCCCTCTCCAAAGCGAGGCCCCGCCCCTGGGGGGGGGGGGCGTCTCCACCCAGGTGGTGTTCGGATCCTGATCCTTACCGTCGGCGTCGTCGTCGGCGCCAGCGTCGGCGTCGTCGTCGGCGTCAGCGTCGGCGTCAGCATCAGCGTCGGCGTCCGCGTCACCGTCGGCGTCGTCAGCGTCGCCGCCGGCGTAGGTGCCGGCCTTCTGGCCGGGGTCCCCTCCCCCTCGGCGATGGCTCCCTTCTGGGAGGCAAGCTCCGCCTCGGTGGAAGTCGCCCCCCCCTCGGTGATGGTCTGCTCCTAAACGGTCATCTCCCCCCCGGGGGGGGCCTCTCCCACCGCGGTAAGGGTCAGCGTCCGATCGGTCGTCGCCATCCCGGTGGCGGGGCGTTCCCGCCTCAGGGCTGTCGTCGGTGAGTGCGTGGCCGGAGCGATGCCCTCCCAGAGGAGGGGGCGCTCCCTCCCTCAGGGGAGGTACCGGCCCACGCGCTGCCCCCGGACCCGGAGTCGGCGCCTGGGCTGCCGGAGTCGGCCTCCGCCCGACAACGGAGGGCGTCGGCACCGGGGGCATTCTCGTGTCCCGGCCGTCGCCTCCAGCGTCCCGGGCCTCACGGGGACCGCAGCCAGTCTCGGCGTGCGTGTAAGCGGCGGCGTCGGCGTCAGCGTCAGCGTCGGCGTCGTCGGTGGTGGCGTCGGCAACGGCATCGGCGTCAGCGTTGGCCCCCCTGTAGGGGGCATCCCCACCTAGGAGGTGGCCCCCTCCGGGTAGGTCGACCCGGTGGTCGCCAGCGTCACGTGGATCGCCGGCAGCCGGAGGATCGCCAGCTCCACGGGGATCGTCCTGAAGGCCGTCGGCGCTACAAGGAGCGTGCCGGGGGGCGCCCAGATGATCGCCTCCAGCATTCCGAAGATCACCTCCGTCTCCCCCGGGGGCCTCTGCTGCGGGCGCGGCCGCGTCCCGGAGATCGCCTCCAGCGTGCCGGGGAGCGCCCGGTTGACCGCCCCCAACGTTCGGCTGAACCTCAGGAGGATGAGTCCCCCTCCCCGAGGTGACGCCCAAGTGGGGGCGCCCCCCCAAGCCTGCGCGGGCGATGGGGGCGGCGGCGCCGGCGGCTCGGGCGCAGAAGGCGGCCCCTGCAGTCAGGGGCGCCCCGGCGTCCGCGGGGTAGACGCCACGGGTGACGTCGTATAGGAGGCGTCGGCGGCGTCAGCGACGAAGTCGGCGACGGCCCCGGCGAAGGGGAGGCAGCCAGCGACGATGAGGGCGACGGAAGCTACCGCCAGCGCCTGCAGCGCCGCTGACTCACCCGGGGCGGACACACCCCCCCCCGTGGCGAATCCCTCCCCCGTGGCGCGGTGCTCCCCGGGTCCTCCCCCGGGTGCGCCCCTCCAGCGTCCCGAAGAGCGCCTCCATCATCCCGAAGGTCCCCTCCAGCATCTCGTAGAACGCCTTCAGCGCCCTGGGGGGCGTCCCGCCGAACCTCCCGAAGATCGCTGGCGTCCCGAAGATCCTCCTCGAGGCCCGAAGCTCTCCTCCGGCCGGTCCGGCTGGCGCCTCCCCCCCCCGCGGCGGGCGTGCCCCCGCCGCGGTGTGCCTCCGGCGTAGGCGCCTCCATCGGCGTGGACATGCCCCTCCCCTCCCCGAGCACCTGCTCCGGAGGGCCCCCGCCGCATGTAGATGCCGCCGGGGGGGGGGCCCCCTCCCCCGGGTGGAGGAGGGTGAGAGGGTAGTAGGAAGGACAGAGGGATCGGGAGAAGGAGTCCCGAGGCTGGAAGCAGGGGATGTGCTCGCGCTCTCGCGCTCTCGCACTCTCGCGCTCCCGCGCTCTCGCACTCTCGCGCTCTCGCGCTCTCGCGCCCCCGCGCCCTCGCGCTCCCGCGCTCTCGCGCCCCCGCGCTCTCGCGTTCTCGCGCTCTCGCGCTCTCGCGCTGGGCCCACTCCCGGGGCCGCGCCTCTGCCGATGTGGCCCACTCCAGGGGCTGTAGGTGTGCCCCCCCCGCCCCAGAAGCTGGATTGGGGAGGTCCCCGGCCACGCCATCGGCCGGGAGGGGGG